CTAATGATCTCGGAACAAAGAAATAGGTTACGTTTCGCTGCCATATGGTCAAAATGGAATATAAAGCCATTGAATGTTGTCTACAAGCGTGATAATTATACTGAATTTCCGACTAAAATTTTTTGACAACACAGTCATGTCTTGCAAATATTTGCAATCTCCTGAGCTACTAGACATATATATATATATATATATATATATATATATATATATATATATATATATATATATATATATATATATATATATATATATATATATATACCAGCATGGTCTAGTGTATATCACTGATCACAACTTCCGATTTGAACATTTTACCAATGTTCAGTGTCATAATTGATAATTTTTTACATAATATTTTTTAATTGAGCACACTTTTAATACAGTTTAAAATTTGGTAATGAATACATCGAATATGATCAACGAACATTGTTGTATTTATAAGTTTATTTGTATATACAAATTATCCGCCATATTAAAAATATTTAAATCTGCCAGGCATTCTGAAGCACCTTTAGCTGTGGCGTCACACCTAGGTCCCAGTCTCATATTACATCAGCGTTTTTTCTCGCGCTTGCTTCAGAACGACTGGGACTAGGCTGCAACTGTAGGCCTTCTGTCATGAATTGAACCGCACAGAGCCCGGTTGTCGGGCTTTAACCTCATATCAAGATTTTACTCCATTGACCGATTAATTCGATACTTTGTTTATAGGATCCTTAGAGAAAACAAGATGACTTACTTGAGAGCATCCTGGTTCAATAATCTGACATTTCTGTTGACATTGTAAGTACATGGAAGCCTCTCATATAGAGACGTGGAACACTAATAAAACAGAGCAACATTTTTCTATAAAATTGAAAATTTGTGTCATATACAGGGGGTACTACCATCATTTCATTGATAATTTTGTACTAATCTTAGAAATTCATTTCGTAGAGACCTTCATGATAATGACATCAAGGAAATTGAATTGGACTCTTTCAAGGATTTAGGACATCTTTATAAACTGTAAGAAATTAACTTTCACCACATGTTATTTTCTTGAATCGCGCGCGGTCTAATACATTGAATTTATTCCATATTGCGTTATGGAAATCAAATCAAGGCGGGTAAGTGTCAACTGTTTACTACCGCATAGTTGACCACAAGGAATAGGCCCCACCGTCCAGAAAAGGCTTTGGGGACAAATACCAGGCATGATGGTTACGGTTGATTGAGACAATGGAGACAATAAGCAAGTAACTCATCTTTCTAGAGATTGGCGATTCTAACATTTACATCAGCGACTCACAATGATAATTTTGATTAGTGATAATTTTGTAGACCATTATAAGTTAATAAATTATTGATATCGTGCATCCAAAACACAAGTTTTTAGGGCTCTTTCAAAAAACATGGGGAAAGTTTTAAAATCTAAAACATTTAAAATTTTAACAAGGAATATTCAGTTAAAGTGCATATAACATGAAATTTCTTATTTTGTTAAATGAGATTTTTCAGTTTCTTGTTTTTATGGTTTGTTCCCGAGATATTTCAATTTGTTTGATATGCAAATGAGTGTGAATATGTCCGCTAATTTATGACGTCATGATGGTTGGAAGCTCTTCAAAATTGTTGAATATCACTGCTATCATCAAAGATGATAATTTCAAACTTCACTCACTGGTAAATGTGATGAAACATTGGAGAAAAACGTGAACAGATATCTACAGTTTTTAGAGTTAATAGATTTATATCCAGTGTAAGTTGAGCTTGCAACCAACGTGACGTCATAAATTAGCGGACATATTCACACTCATTTACATATCAAACAAATTGAAATATCTCGGGAACAAACCATAAAAACAAGAAACTGAAAAATAAGTTACACAACAACTTAAAGAGTTCTTTCGTTTAAGAAAATAAGAAATTTCATGACATCATGCACTTTAACTCAAATGGAGTTATTTCTAGGTTAATCAGGAGAGTTTAACCAGAGAGTTTTTATTAGAGTGTATATACTATATTTTCAGCGATATACAAAGAACCAAGATGCGATCTCTACCTGAAAATTTGTTTGATCCACTTCATTCACTCCTGATTGTGTAAGTATACTGCGGCACTCTTACAGAACAATATACATTCAAGCTTGTACAAATAAGAGACGTACTCCACCATATCACAAGAGCACAAACACTGTTAGTGTGCACAAACACTGCCTGGTCACTTGTGGGAGTGGCATGGAGCTGGTTGTGTAGTCACAATCAGAAGCAGAATCGAAATAAATTTAAACACAATAATTCAAAATCAGAAAATAATACTAATGTGGTCGTAGGTAGGCTCATATAGCGTGTTTTGAGGCGTGAACCACCGGAGTATGTTCTATTCTTGGGTCTCTTAAACAGGATTTCCTGCATTATAAGTGATGTTATGAAGTTTATTGTTTTATGATATTACAGGGATCATTAATACTTAATTTCTGTAATAGGATGGTTTCGAGTGCAATTTGGAACAGGGGTGTATATTCGTCAATGAACGTTGATTCTTCCCCCCCCCCTTCTTTTCAGATTTGATTCTTTTCCCCATATCTTTACTACATCAGCCTCAAAGGCCTGCACCTAATAGTAATACTGTAACATATAGTATATTTGTCCCCTCCCCAAGATAGAATAAAATACATAAATTATAAATTAGCTAGTTATAAGTTATTATTTCCTAAATTTGCAATCCTCAGTAAAGCTTTTCATATTTATTTAAGTTACTTTCCACTAACATGAACAATCAACATTAATACAGTAATTAATTCAGCTAAAAAATCTCAGTGGCAAAATCATTTTGGAAAGTGGAAACACAGATTTTCACGAATTATCCACGGAAATTTTTCTCTTCTTTTCCCTCTGCCTTTCCATTTTTTCTACTCTTCTTTGATTTTCTTCCCTAGTCCTAAGACCCTTTGATTCTTTTCCCCCACGCCAGGGGGGGGGGATTATAGAAGAATATACACCCCTGATTTGGAATAAAACATGCATACACGAGTGAGTTTTCAAAGAACATCAAAATATGGGGTCTTCAAAAACTCACGAGTTCTTGTTTCATCCAAATTTAACGAGAAACCATTCTATTACGTATTAATAATATATATATATATATATATTATATATATATATATATATATTAAAAATGTTCGAAACAATGGTACTTTTAACTTACGTAGTTTACAGCAAACTGTCTACAGACAAAGTTTTCCTGCTTTGTTATATCACATTATACAACGCTAACGGCTTGAAAGTTTCACTCAACTATACAAATTTTGTCATTCTTGTTAAGGTAAATTCTTTTCCATTTAAAAAAGGATAAAAGCTATATATTTTCCAGCCGAACTCACTTTTGCTTTACATAGCGAGGCCGCAATGTCTGTTTTGTTTTGAATGCGTGACCGTTACTTGAGGACTGTTTTAAGCATGAATGGTTGATTTTAGATACCATGTTTTTCACAAATCAGATCAGTTTCTTACAGATTTTTGCACAGTGGATACAGATTTTTCCACAGTTGTTACAGAGTTTTGCACTGTGGTTACAGCATTTTGTACTGCTGTTTGAGAGTTACTATACTGAAATCAACCAATCACATTGAAGTAACATTTTTATGTACGTTATTTGTTAATATACCATCCAACATAAACATAGGGAAACTAGCATTGCTGGTGTGACTTTATGCCAAATCAACGATGCTAAATCTTATTAATTAAACTGGCAAAGGTTTGTTACATTTTCAAAGATTATTTTAGTTGCGATAAAAATCTGAACACTGCCCCCCTCCTCAATGAAAGAAAATTTTAGCAAGGGGAGTAAGCTTCCCCCTCCCATCAAGCCCCTCCACCACACCTCTGCCCGGAGCTGTCTCCTCCACTGGCCCTTCTTGCGTCATTGGAAGGCCACAATTCTGGAGCGCCTGCCAAATTTTGTAGAGAAAATGCATCGTTCCTATCTAGCATATGGAGTAATACTTGCTTTCACTTTTAAAGCAATTTTGTACACTAACAGTTTATTTGGGAAATAGAACTAATGCAAAAAATTGTAAAGAACTGCTCGAACTTACTTTTTAATTAAGTCATTTCACGTATAAAATCATTAGAGAATTAAATTATATATTGCTGACGAGAGATACAGCTCATGATCGTTATTTAGGAGATGTACAATCAGATGCGATTTTTATGAAAGCCGCAATGTGATTGGCTGAAACGATTCCTCGTTAATTCCGTAAATCACGGCACTTTTGCACAAAGGCAGATGGAAATAAAATATTGAGATTGTAAGAGTTTCGTTTCTGTAAATACTACCAATGTCCTGCACGTAGAATTTTGTGCGTGAGCAGGTGCAGCGGTCTAGCTTACGGACCCTCTTGAAATATTAGGGCTGAAAACGAACCCCTTATCGTCCACTTACGCCTGCATTCTTAAAGCTCACTCACCTGCACACACACTCAAAGAGTTGAGGTTCAATCTGAGCTCCCCTTGAGTGCCAATGCTGTTTATGAATAGCTGGAGGGTGAGTAGTCACACAGTAAAGTACGAGTCTAACCCCGCAGCTTGTTCAAAAGCAGCACTGATACTCAAGGGAAGCTCAGCTTGAACCTCCACCTTTTGAATGTGAGTTTGAGTGTGAGTGAGCAATTAGAATACAGACGTTAGTGTCGTATGCAGGCACTTAGTACATAGGTTTCAGTGTACTCATGAATTAATGCAGTACGACTCATGCACTTTTGCAATTGCCCTTTATTATACATCGTTTGTTTCAAAACATTCCATTGAAAGATTATTTGACAGAGAGATAAATTGTTATCTGTTTTCAATTCAATTGCTAAATTAGTATAGAAAAACCTCAAAATGTAGATCTTAAACAACACTGAAAAAGTTGCCAAATTTTCTCTTTTATCAATCACTTTGATTTCCTTTCCATGTTGAAGATGCATGACTTTTCCAATTTCAGGTGATCGACGATTGCAGGGATATGCCCACCTCGCCATCCCTCGCTTCAAAATCCGGCCTTGATAAAATTTTCATAGATGGCACAGTAACATTCAACTCATATATTTCCAGGAAAGTAGACGACTTTACCCACTGTTGTGCTGCACAAGCAGCAAAGGCGGATGTTTTATGCGACATTCGTCATCAAGATGGCTTATCAAACTGTGGTGGATTGCTGAAGTACACAGTTCTCAAGTATTTTATTTGGATTTTTGGCATTTTCTCCTTTCTGGGGAACTTGGCTGTGATTTTGTGGAGGTAAATTTGCTTATGTTACATAAAATTCAAGTTATATAAAACATCCAGAACGAAGGCTTTAAGAGAGACTAATCCCTAGGGCAGATGAAAATCCCGAGAGACTTATCTGGCCAAAAGTCGACTTTCGGAGGTTTAACCGACTTATAGTATGATTAGCGAGGTTTTGTTTCCAAAACAGCTCGTACGATTAAGGTACGTAGGAATCTGGTTCAACATGTGCACTTTAAATGCTTTAATGTGGAGGAGCTTATATTTTACACAATTTTATCATTTAAAGTCCCACAAGTGAAACAGAAAATGTTTTTGTGATAAATTCGCCGAGTCGGTCCTGTGAGAACTTTGACTGTTGGTCTGATATATACCATGGCACCTTCGTATCTATACATGAACTTGCGGTAAGAGGACGACAATTGGACTATGTAGCAAAGTTAGTTAGAGCGCTGGATGGAGCTGGAGAGGAATCACAGGTGCGATTCCTGTCAGAAGGCCTATGGTTGCAATATTCTCAGCTGCCCAGGTTATGCTTAATTGCATGGCGCATGGTTTGGCTGCTAGAAAGCTGGAGTCTAAATAAATGTATAAACGGCTTAGAGTCGAAATTTCTATCTATACAGAGACTTTCAACAAAGGGTCAATCATGGTCTTTTTTAGCTATGTAAGAGGAAATAATATAGCCTTCTTCCAGGAATCGGATTTGCCACTCAATTCACATTGGAAAAGCGGCCCTGCAAAATTAACCTCAACAATACTGTTAACACGTGTACATGAATCCTAATTGACTGCAGTACCCTTTCCAAGAAATTTTACGCGGGGGGAGGTTGAATAGAGGGGATTATGTAGGGGATAATGTTCTTCCTAATTGGGAAAATTGGGCTATAAAGTCGACTTGGGAAAAAGCGGGCTCTCCCTCCTTTTATAGCTTTAATTAATTAGCTTTTAACATATTAATGTATCTTAATTAAGCTATGACTTTCATTTTTGATCTTAGAAAATTCAAATTGATTTTGCGAATGCAAATTTATGTTTTAATTAGGTAGTTCGAGTGTTAAGCCGGGAAAATTTTATTTATGATGAAAATTTGAGGTCACAGAAACGCCTTTCCTGCACTTACAGTATGGGCAGTTTAGGCCATTCAATGCATTTGCTTCCCGCCCTACTTTTTTAAATTTTCAGGAAAATGTGTCATTTGTATCAATTTAATTTAATTTAATTCAACGTATTAAAATTTTATATCGGCATAATGCAAATTATAATACTTATTACAATGATGGTTTTTGCATTTCCAGAGTATTTACAAAAGACCAAAATCCAGTGAATTCATTTTTGCTAACAAACCTCGCTGCTGCTGACTTCCTGATGGGTGTTTACCTGTTAATAATCGCATTCAAAGATACGTCCTGGAATGGAGTGTACTATAAACATCATTTCGCTTGGCGGGAAAGTGACTTATGTATCATAGCTGGAGTTGTTGCAACTATTTCAAATGAAACGTCCGTTTTTTCTTTGCTCATAATAACTTTAGATCGTTTGATTTGCATCGTCTTTCAATTCCGTTTCCAAAGATTGTCGTTGAGAAAAGCGATATTTATTATGGGAATCGTTTGGTCAATTAGTATTGTCATTGCACTTGCACCATTGTTTAACGATGCTTACTTCTTTGACGAAGACGGGGAAGTGAATCTCTTTGGTCAAACTGCACTGTGTCTACCGTTTATTTTGTCCAGTGAAAGACCAGCCGGATGGGAATATTCAGTATTTGTCTTCGTCACTCTAAATGGGTTTTCATTCTTCTGCATCGCCATTGCCTATGCAATCATCTACCGCACAGCGACGAAAGCAAGGAATGCCGTGAGATCGACAAGAATAAAGCAGGATTCGGTAATTGCCAAAAGAATGATGTTTATAATATTGGCTGATTTTCTCTGTTGGTTTCCAGTGATCATTTTAACTATTATGGCATTGGCAGGAAGTCTTTACGATCCATCACAAGAGGTATATGCCTGGACGGCCGTGTTTGTCTTGCCCATCAACAGCTCCGTCAATCCCTATCTCTATACATTTTCAACACGATTTGTACAAGAGAAAATATTTGGCGCGGAAATTGTTCAAAATAGGCAACACCATCCAAATGTAGCTTCACAACCAGGTAAATTTTATTACTAAGTATTGTTGTCATTACGAGTGTTCTGATTGGCCAACAGCTTACAGCTAAATACGCAAACCACACAATTTCCAGGTTTAGCCATTGGTATGATTTTTATAGCAAGCTGCTGTTACATAATATAGACAGACTGATGGTCGACCCAGCCAAAAAGGTGTATAAATGTTGCCACGCCATAATTCCCTATGATTCGTCATCAAAATGCTGTTGCCATGGTCCTAACCAGTGCGAGTATGAGAAACATTCACCACCCTGAACGTCTGCCATTTTGAATATTCTCAGGGCGTCAATGCCTCTTATAAGCGCATTGGCTAGACCAAGAAGTCAATTCTGTATGCATCTATTCTGTACCACTGCTTTAGACAGACGAATAAAAACACGAAAAAACAACATAAATTAACGACGTTTCTTACTTCTTTTTTGTGCAAAAAGCAGACTTTTTCGACGTACTGCAGTTACCAGAATTTCAGTATTTAAGGTGGCTACCTACAGTGATACAGTTTAAAATACGATTTATATATAGATCAGACTTCATCCTCGCGACCTGCGCGTGGAATATCCTCGTGTTCACTTTTCGGTAAAAGTATTGAAACAAGCCGCAGGATGTTTTTTGGCGTTTTCATCTACAAAGAAAGCTCCAGTTTTTCATTATAATCCCAATTTGTTCTGAAACTGACCAGTACGTATGTCATTAACTAGTTTAATTTATTTAACCTATCTTTTAGTGCGTTTTTACGTATTTACGTTCAGCATTGCCATTCATATAAATGCTCTAAATTTTCAACTTGTTGTGTCGCGAACTGAAATGATACTGTCTTCTATTAACTCTTGAACAGTGAACTGTCGCCGAAACTTATGTAAGTCCTGTCAATCAATTCAATTGACAGGTATTGTTTTAACTGCGCTAAATTAAATAAAACAGAAATGAGTTGTTTTATATGAAAAGTCAATTTTGTTGTTCGATGTTTTGAAAAGATTTCACACCGATTTTAACACAAAAACAAATGTGAAGAAACACTGGATGAATACAATGCGTAATAGTGTTTTTATTATTGGTATATATATTTTCAACAGTAATATTTTATTTTCATGTCAAACAAGTCAGAAATATCTTTTTGTATGTATTGTAAGTCAAAAAGTTGAAATCACTATAAATCACACACATTTTGTGTTGTCACACAGTACAATTTACACGCACGCGCAGGTCGTGCTCATGCCGAGTCGATTATTTTTCATGTCAGCGCCTGGCCGCGCCGATTTTAGCGATGATTTTCTCGTGCTTTCATCGGTGAAATTTTTTTAAACTTCTAGAAATTCTACAAAAAACTTCTTCTGTAACCGTCATTCACGAATATCTCGAAAACTTATTTGTAAACCTCCCTTCAAATATGAAGGTTTGATATGTTTTTCCTTTATGGACCAAAAGTGCAAAAGATTAAACATCATGGTTGCCATGGCAACGCTAACACTGTTTTAATGTGTTCATAAATGAACATCATACAGCTTCTGAACTTTCCTGGAAAAGATCATATTGTCTTCAGTGTATTTAATATAAATTCGGTTCAAAGCAAACGTTACTCAAAATACCTAGAATTTTAGAGAACTGTCAGGAGCCACCTTAATGAACTTCTTGAACTGTTATTATGATACTTCAATTTGTTTAAGTTCTTGTTTGTATTGCCCATTGCTTTTCGGTTTTTCTGATATCCGGAATTATCAAGGTCTCGGTAAGTGTTATCAGTTCGTCTTGGGTGTGACTGGTAATATTTACCATTAATTTCCTCCACATTGTTAATTTTGGATATCACAAAATCCAAAGTGAAGACCAGGACTAATTTTTTTTCCCTTTTACAAAAATACAAAGCCAAGAATGAAGTTAATTGTCACGATGACGAATTGTGACTGATACAAATTTGCCTGTCAAAAGAGAAATGACGTACTGTAGCTCATAACAGGACACTATTCCTTAATACAATAATTATCTCCGCATTAATTTCGTCCCAGAAAATGACAGGATCGTCTAACGGTTGTGTTACAATAAGCGATTTATCTAGGAGCTTGTCTCGCAATTTTGTTGCGCGACACAAGTTGTACGCGAAATTACAAGGCGTAACATGCCTCCACTTGTTCCAACAAGCATTCCACTAAGTAGAATAACGTTCTACTTTGCGCGATCGATATGATTCCGGCAACGCTCCAACGCATTTTTGAAGCATTGAACAGTGTAACATCCCTCATGCAACTTGTTCGTAATGTTGATGAATAGCCAACAATTTGTTGATGAATTAGCTTACGTGAATAGCCAAATACCAACTACCCTGCACCTAACCATTCTTGAGGAGGAGCTGAGGGGTCATAAAAGTGTTCTAAACACACACCGCACGAAGAATTTACATGGCGTTATTAAAATCGCAGCGAGGCCTAATGGCGCGGACGTTTCACACAACTTTAATTAACGTAATAAGTTAATTACTTTTGACTTATTTACAGGACGCGTTGGCAACAAACCTAAATTTTCTGGAAGTTACAAAACGTCTGGCGTAGAAATGTCCCCAGCGCCTCCTGACATGATTGCCGATGATGGAGCACCAGAAATGATTAACGAAGCTTTTAGATCTGACGATAATAGAATGTAAATCTTTAATATGTGGAGAGACCTTCAACTTTAGTTTTTGAGGCTATATACAGCCTACGTAAATTTTAAACGATTCGATAAATTGCACTTTTAGTGATAAAGTGCTTCAAAGGGAAAAGAGTACTCTACATTCTCTTCATGGTCTCAAAACTCGGGTTAAAAATCGCAATATCGCCTATATATGACTCTATTGAAATCATCTTGAAATTTTGCATTTTAAGCAACATTGTCAAATGCTGAAATTGTCAAACACTCGGCTGCAAAGTCAAAAACCAGAAGTACCAAAATATCCACAAACGTTAAAGATGATGTCCACCCCGTTCTGCGCATCAGTTCTTCTCATAACAAAGGGGGACCCCCAGATATAAACATTGCCCAAATTTTGCATCTTTCGAACTTTTTTGAATTGCAACGTACAGTTTATATTCATTTACAAGTGTAGCGAACCAGAAAAGTGTATATTCAGTTAGGATATCATGGCTTACAAATATAGCAGCTTAAAACATAAACAAACTAGTTCGCGCATGTGCACAGGGGTGGACATCATCTTTAAGACTGTAAGAAAATGGCTGTTGACAGCTAGCGATAAAAAATGCCATCATAGGCTGACTGCACTCGATCGCTTGTTACGGATTCGTTTGTTACTGACGACATCGAATTTAGCTCTTAAAATTGCGATAATATGACAAATTGAAACGAAAACTGTTAAAGATTTTCCCAGTAATTGTAATTTCTTATAAAGTGCAGCTAACCTCAATTATTTTTATAATAACTTATTTGGAAGATTTTCGTTTGTTCACTTTGTTTCTGAGATGCACATGTTTCAGTTTGTTTGGTATGCAAATATCCGGAATTTACGTCACAAATGCATAATCACTTAAAGTAAAAGTTTGTATATCGTATTCACAATCGAGTAAAGTTTAATTCATTAAAATGATGAAGTTTGGAGTTGTGGGAGGATTTCATACCTGTATGTAAAACACCATTTAGCCTTTGTATTTCATGATATTTATCAGTACCTTACATTCTCTGATCAGTTATTATTCATATATGTGACGCAAATTCCGGACATTTGCATATCAAAAAAAACTGAACAAGTGTGCAACGAAATCTTCAAAATGAGATACAATTTTTTATCATTTCAAAGGTTCTTAGGAATGAGATGATAAACTAATTGAGGTTAGGTGCACTTCAAAAAATTTACCCTGTATAAATCACGCCATTACCTCATATTATTTTTCGAGTTGTTATTCCTTGCCGAGCCACGGAAGACGCTGTAGCACAAAATAATATCCGGTAGAGCGGATATTATTATTAAAAATATGAATAATATGCCCAAATTTCCCCTCATCCATTGGACAGCAAACAATTTTAAGACCTATTCCTGACTGTGTTTACTTCAGACAACACGACAACATTTTTTTTAAATATACACAGAATATTCAAAAGAATAAACTGCTTTTATACATGAGCCAATCAGGAGCAAGCATATAGAGAGCACTTAATAAAATTAGATAGAAATGTGAGATATTATAATATGAGTACAATCATTATCAAGGCTAGACGAAAACAACTTCACAGTACAGCTGGCGAAGGCGGAAGGCCTTATTATCAAGTTTTAAAGGTAATTCACTAAATTTTGTTAATTTTTCTTGTACAACAACTGCGCTAAGGCCCACTTTTAATCCCCGTTTACAGTATTTTTAAATTTAGATTAATTTTATAAGTTAGCGCTGTATCAAAAGTTCTCTACAACGCTAATGTATTCCGGTCTTATCCATGAATTGGTCCTAATATATAATGATTCGGGTTCGCTACGGTTAAACTCTAGTTAGTTTTATGAAGTGTAATATACGTGCTCTATTATATAGAGCTTGTGCAAGTTCGTGTACGCTACGAAACTCTACTACAAACCTGGGATAAAGTTAGGCAAGTGTATTTCGAAGTCTGTAGTATAGTTATAACAGGTGCAACACGAGATTTCTGACTTGCTAATGCTTGACTATTGCAGTTTTACACATGCGCGGACGAATAGAATGATTGGTTTCGGGTCACACATATTTCGCAAATGCTACTGCTATCAATATATAGAGTCGTTTTCGATCTTCCTTGCCCTCGTTTTTCGCTGTTATTTCATCACCAAACGCGGTAATGAAATGATTCATATATCTTTTCACACCTCGCAGTTTGCGATCAAAACACGGACACCTGCACGCGCATAAGTTATTCATGCGCGTGCGTTGAACAAGCTTTAGAAATGTCAAGTTTTCCGAAAAGGGTATTGAAGGGTCTCGTCCTAAGCCACGGTCAAACGAGGATGAGAGTTGAGAGAAATGGAGGACATTTACTGTATACGGTTAACATTTCTATAGCGTAAATTTACATACATGTGGCGGTTATGATCATGCAAATGCGCTTTACATCACAATACTGCGCTTACCTAAATTACTTAGTTAGCCTAGACTACATTATCTTTACAACAATTCGATATTACTTTCTTACCTAACCCACCCTGTCATCAAGGTGGGAGGAAGGAGAAGCACCTGCCGAAAACACACACGACTTTCCGCAGAGCGTTGACTGACTCTTTTCACATGAGTCCGTAGTGAGAATCGAACCCACAATCTCAGAGGGGCGCTAATTACTATACGCGGCGTCTGCCGACTGCGGCCCGAAGCCCCAAGGGACATTTCAAGCATTCTTACAGGGAAAATGTCAAGCTCTAGATAGTTTGACATACAAAATAAAAGTTTGATGAGTGTTCCAACTATGTTTCAATTTCAATAAAATCTATGGCAGTGTGGGGATCGAAATTAAGCACTATAAGTTACAGCTAACTATAGTCGCGTGACTGCCCAATTCCAGCGGCGCTCTCATCCTCGTTTAAAAGGGGGTTTATAGACAGATACGATAGGCGAAAGCTCGAAATTGATAGGGTTACAGCTACCAGCTGAAAACACAAGCAGAATTTCGACGTTTCGCGCGAAAGGCCCTTCGTCTGGACGTTAGTAGCGACTATATAACTTCCAATTAATGAAGTGCGTTCCCTCGAAACGTCGAAGTTCTCCTTGTACGGCTTTGAAATAGTTGCAGTTGCATCCTTATCAATCCACAGCTTTCTTCATCGTCATTAGCCACACTGGCACAGATCGTTCGAGATTTGGACAAATACCGGCCTAACCGGGGATCATCGAGCGAATAATTTTTGTTAGTATTTTTGCACAAGTGAACATAACAAATCCTACAACCTGATTGGTCAAATTTGACGTATTAAGCTGTTAAATTCACCTACAGGTGAATATAACAAAACTGAAATTTTCAAAATGGCGGCTAGCCGGTTTGTGGAAGTTTACTGATAAAGAAATAAGCGAAATTAAAATAAATTCGGTACCAAATAACACAAAGGACTTGTGTAAAAATACTAAAACAATTATTCGCCTCAGGCTCGGTGATTATCGGGGAATATTCACCTCGACTTCGTCTCGGCGAATATTCCCCGATAATCACCTCGCCTTCGGCGAATAATTGTTAATTGTTACGGCTTCGGTAATAATTTAAAATCATCAAGCTCGTAAATGGCATTTGGAAGTGAGTTTATAGCGACCCAAATATTACCACAAACACTTTTCTTGGACCAAGAATACTAGTTTGTTTACTGAAATTCAGAATTTTATTGAATTTATTGAACAGGTTTACAATAGACATTTATTGAACAGGTTTACAATAGACATTTAGATAAAGTTAAGCAGCATTATAGGAAAAGAGGAAGAAAAAAAATATACGGGAGACTGCAGTCATTATTAGTGATATGAGGGGTCGGGCGGAAGATATTTTACAATTTAAATTTTATCACTCAGCATAATTCTTCATTTGCCACGCCAAGGATACTGTTTATTTTTATAGCTTCTCTTCGTTTCACCTCGGTTTGGCTAATAGACGTTAACCGCGGTTTCGCTCAGCTTCAGAAAGTTCTACATTCCACGGACATGCATTTTTACCGCAAAACGGCTTCCAGTTCCAGTTACATATTGAGACCAGAGGAGTAAACGCTGACCATGGGAGGCAGGCTCGTATGTCTGATACGGTTCGCGCATTGAATGAGTATTATATATGAGTATAAAACAACACATTATTTTTGTTGTTTACGAGCAACAGTATGGCTCAGGATTGCCGGAGTATCTTATCTAGTTATTTGTGAAGGCGTGTTGGAATAAAATACTTGTGCAGATCATGTCGGATAATGAGGAGAAATCTACAAGTATGTACATGAATACTACGACTACTACGAATACTACTAAAATCCTGTAATTTTTTTCATTAATACAAGACGATTTTTAAGTTTCATTAGAGATTAGTGTATTCCACACTGTATAGTATATTACTGTGAATATCATTTCCATTTGTCATTAGTTTACCACCTCAATTAAAAAGCTACCTCAATTAATTTAACTCTTTGCGAGCCACCCCAGGCCCAGTCCTCGAGAGGTTGACGGCTAGAAATTTCATATCTTCGGTGCAGTACATGCTATGAAGACAGAAATACTACCATTCGATTCAGAAATAAAAGATCAACTAATTCCAAACGATAGTTATAGTCATTATTAACATTGTAGCGATTTATGGGAGTTTGAAAGTCAAACGCGATCGTATATTGTCAAATTACGCAATTGTCCGAACAAAAATATAGACTAGCCATACCTTTCGCCGAAAATAACTTCGGCCCCTTCGAACATATCGTCTTTGTAATAGTCTTGTTCGAATCCCCATCCAAAACACTATTTAGAGTGTTATTTGCAAGCCTGTATCTTCAAATTTGCATCTTTTATCACGGTATTTCCATTTCTTGTCCGACTGTTGAGCTCGAAGTGAGCTAATCCCATTCTACAGGTCAAATTGCACCCACACGCGTGAGTTTGACGTCATCCCAGCCACAGGAGCTTTTTATTGGCCAATTATTGCGCAATGTACGCGCGTGCGAGTAAAACCCGACATCTTGAAAAA